CCCGGTGACATTTACACCATCATGCAATAAATAAAAATAAGAGCCAACCTGCTTCCCTCACACACCGAATTTATTACCAACATGAACATGACTAACAAATCCAGAACAAGCTTTTTTTTTTTATTTATTTTTTTTTAATGTGAAACAAAGATTACAAGGATTTCACAAAAGTGGGGAAGGTGTTCCCAACCAGCATATCGACAAAAACAGTATGCTTCTACATTTGATTAAAAAAGGCTAAGACAAATACCATACCTTCGCTTGAACTTATAAAACTGACGTTGCACCCTGTTGTTATTTTTACAAACACCACTAATGAAAACGTATGTTGGTAAAGGGCAAATGAAATGGAGTAGCATGTGCATAAGAGACATCGAGCATGAGCGCCTGGTATTCTACAGCTACTTATCAAAAAACAGGAGGTGAGGATAGTGTTGTTGGGCACGGGGAATGTAAATAGAGGGCAGGAGGGAGACACTGGGAGGAGGGCTTGTGACAAACAGTCCAAAATCTGAACTAAGAGCGGGAACGGGAACGAGAACGAGACTGGGAGCGGGATTTAGAGCGGGACTCCGATCTGGAGGCGGAGCGGGAACGGGAGCGGGGTTTGGCAGGTGAGGGGGAACGGGATTTGGACTTTGATTTTGACCTGGCTCTGGATTTGGGCTCCTCAGGAGACTGAGATCGGGAACGAGAACGAGAGCGTGAGCCTCGCTCAGGCTCGCCGCCCTCGTCATCGCTCTTGGGCTCCTCCCGGCCCTTTGAGACAGATTTCCTTGACTGATCCTTAGCTCCAGATGCAGAACGAGATCTAGAGCGAGACCTGGAGCGAGAACGAGAGCGAGACCTGGACCTGGACTCCCCCTTCTTGCCCTTTTTCCCCTCTTTCTTGCTCTTTTTACTCTTGGGGCTGCGGCTCCGGCTGCGATCCTTGTTCTTCTGAGCGCCGTTGCTGCGCTCCTCCTCCTCCTTCTTGCCCTTTCCCTTATTCTTCTTGCTACGAGATCGGCTGCGGGAGCGAGAAGCAGCTCTGTGGACAGAAGACAAACCAAGTCTTATTGCACCAACCCATCCACCAAAATTCTCATTAACATAATACACTGAACAGCTGGGTAAAATTACTAGAATTTTAGGGGTTTTTCTACGGTCTGTTTTCTCTGTTTCGATGTTCATCAACACAAAAATGGAATGATTGTGAGCAGCTTTAAAAGCATCTGAGAGACATAATTTAAACAGAAATTTCTACATCCTGTCTGAAGACAGTAAAGAGAAAGTACGTAGTCTCCATGCTTTTTAAAGGCCACCATACAAAAATAAATAAAAAAAGACTTCTTGCCCTATAGAAGTCTACAGTAAGACAGCCCACAGCGCTAACCTCAGTAAACACTTATGATCAATTTATGCGCTCAGTCATATTTAGTAACTAAGAATCAGAAAGGAGGATTATTCAGGATCTGCTCATCCTTTGTTATTGTTAATGACAAAGGATTAGCCAGTCAGCATGCAGTCCTGAAAACGCTCAGTTTGCAGCTAAGCACGACTTTACAAACCAATGCGTGGTGTCATCGTCTTATGACAAAGACTGAAGGTTTGACCTGAAGATTTATTTACATTTTTGTGCATGTATTATTAAACCCATTATGCATTTCCTTTATTTTTATATATACACCCACAATTTCAGTAACGGATGGTCATATTTAAACAAAGTCTGTATTAATGAAGTCAGGATAGAAGTAAACGTAACCCCTTATTTTCAGCTAGCTTTCCTCTACAGTGAGAACGAGAGATCTATCCTAATATGGCAATCTGAGTCTCACGGCTCTGGCTGTGAGCACAGAAGCTATAACGGCTTCTTACAGACAGGATGAGGTAATAAGTCACAACAAAGAGGATAAGAAAGCCTTGATTTGAATCATGCAAAGTCATCATGCAAAGTAACTAGAGTCTACGAATATGAAAGCTATAAATGAGCGTAACACGTTTCCTGTAACATACTTATAAAAACAAATGAACTGAACTGGATACAAAGTCTCAAGGTGTCTCAAGGCAGCTAGTGAGAGGACAAAACGATCGAACATCTCTCAGTTTCTGGACAAAACAGCAAAATAAAGTTTTTCTCACCTGGAGCGGGAGCGGCTGCGACTGCTGCTCTCACTGCGGCTGCGGCTCTTACGAGACCTGCGGCTCCTGGAGCGAGACCTGACAAAATATTAAACCATTTATCGATCTTGGATCTGACTGCAGCAGCATGCGATTCCTAATATAATACCAGACACCAGTGCTGTTTTTACCTGGAACGGCTGCGGCTACGAGAATACGAGCGGCGGCGCCTGGCACCAGGACGGTCCTCAATGAGCCGGATCTTTCTGCCATTCACCTCTGTGCCGTCGAGCTTCTCCAGGGCCCTCTTCATATCAGAGTAGAGCCTGAACTCGATCACCCCCTCATTCTTCCGGCCCTTGTGGGTGTCAGCGTAAGTCACCTCACCCGCCTGCCTCATGTAGTCCTACCAAGGAGAGGAAACAGATGAGATTATGAGAATGTGTCCACTGGAGGCTCTGACCAAACTGCATGTAAATATTTTACATAAAATCCATGAGAGCTTCTGAATCATGGATTCATATTACATCTTCCCTTATGGACAACCTGATCAGAATGGGTGTGTTGTGCTTTATGAGTGTTTATATAATTATGTGGCCACAATAAAAACAAAAATCAAATCTAATGCAACATTCTTAAAGTTGGGTAAAATAAGGGAAATTTTAAAAAAAAAGAAAAAGACGGGGAAAATCTCAGTCTAGCTATGGGAAATGTTAAAACGCTGAAAT